AAAGTAAACGTAAGTAAACAGTCAGAAATAGAACCAGAGCTTCGGACAAAACTAGTCCTTCCTCAGTGGCGAGTGAGTGAGGGTAGAAAAAGCTAGATGGTATAAAGTGAGAATTTGATGCATGCATGATTGGAAACAATAGGCTGGGTGAGATTAGAATAAACAGCTAAACAAGTAAACTGGAAGGCCAAAACTAACTAACTATATATATATATAAATCATCAAAGAAGAGTAAATACAGTGTTGTAGCTATCTAGTCTTGAAATGGGGGAGCTGGTGGGGGGAGCGCAAAGGTCACGTGGGGAGTTCGATGATTAGTTGAGGGGCGCCAGCACACAAAATAAGGTCTCACTAAATAAGGTGATTTTTTTTTTTTTTGTGGGGAGGGGTTACTGGGTGAGGCGTGATTTTGTTGTGTGTGTTCTTTTTTAGGTGGGGGGGGGGAGGGGCGTCCACCCCAAGATACTCCCCCAACACGTCGTTACGCCATTGTACACAAAAAGAGCGGATCCAGATTTGTTGCCAGGGTGGCGCGAGAGACTTTCCGCCATTTATATATACCTAAATGATTTGTATAGCTTGTTCTCCAGCTATAAGAACATATGAACTTTTTTGACAATTTGGTGGAGGTACGTGTACACTAATCGTAACCTTTCCAACACCCTGCGGCCCTATTTAAAATATAATGAAATCTTGAAGAGCCGTCAATAATTAATTTAAATCTTCAAGTATCAAATATGTTAAGGAGCCCCCTCGCGTTCAGACATTCTTGATATTTTGAGGTTTTAATAGATTTTAAAAATATAATATGAACTGATAATTGAACGTTTTTTTCTTTGATATGTTAAGGAAACTGATCTTTTACAAAATTAAATCAATATAATCAAAATCTTTGTGGAAATGTTACGGCTTAACGTTCATTAATATGATTAAATTTAAAGAATCGCAAATAAATCGAGGTCGGAGTAAAATAATTCCATACAAATTAGATGAAAAAGTATTGGGCTTTGAAAATACTAAATTTTTTACCATAAATGTAAATGTTATATTATAAATAAATGGAATTAATTGCGAATATGAACAAATAATTACAAGCGCTTTACGTCGTGGATGAGATGAGTAGACGTCAAAAATATATAAAATCGAGAATTCATAAAATAATCCTATACTGATTTGATTGGGAACAGGGTAGTGAGAGTAATACATCCCTTTGCTGTTGTTTTGAAGCGAATACGTCCACCCTACCAGGTCAGGGAGGGACTTTAGCATATGGGGGCCTTGGCGAATTCAGGAATTCAATTCAATTCAATTTCAATTCAATTCAATTTCTTGACGCTACAAAAGCCATCAAGGGCAGTTATCCGCAAGGTACAAAACACAAAACGGAAAAACTTCTTAAATTACAACCACCCCCACCCACTCACCCCTTCCACCCACCACCACCACACAACAAGAAGAAACGAGAAAAAATGATTGTTGGAAGCAGGGAAGATTATGAGGAATTCGAAATGATCTAAGGCTGGCTCTGCGCTATGGTTAAAGCAGTTTTTATATCACACGAAGGGAGAGCGGGATCAAGCTTAAGGTAGAATGACAAACTAATAGAGAATGGGAGAAATCAGTTAAGGAAGCGAGAAGTACGGCCCAGGAAAGTTGAACTACAAGAAGTCTCAAGGACACGGAGAGTTGACGGTGTAAAGGAAGATAACAATAAAGAGGGTGTTCAGGTGATTGCGCGATTTTGCAAAGGGAACTGAGAAGGACTAACTTTTGACGTGTTTCGAATAGAGGTGGATCGAGGGAGGGACTTTCACAGAAATAGAGACTTGGGTCCACCCACCTCAGACGGCCCACCATGGTTGGGGTTGAGGAAAAGAAATGTATGATTATGGCACCTATAGATGGCCCGCAAACGGCACTCATAGACTTAACAGAGAATACATATAATTTTAGTGAAACCTATAGAAAGAGAGAAGATGTGTTTGTACGTGGCGAGTTATTTACACGCACTTTTGAAGCTTATAAATACAGTTAAAAGTCTTTGCTTGTACGGCAAATTAGAGGCAGTCTTAGTTTGGAAACTGCTCTGATCGGTAAAGGAGTTTTGGTGGATGGATTGCTGGAGCGTGTGAGAGTGTGTCTTTAATTTTCTACCCCGAAAAAATGTGGACCTTTGGTAATTTGTGGGGGGAGGGGGCGTACGCACCTCTCCCCGCCCCGCCCACCCTTACCCTCGTATGGGCCTGAGATGTGCCAATGTCAAATTTTCTAAAAATGTGAAATTCATAATTCCATTGTTATTTTTTCATCAGGATTACCAATAACAGTTGGAAAGTCAGGATTCTCACCTTTTTTTGTTACCATTTCCTGGAATTTTATAGTACAGGTGAGATTTGTAATCATTATAGTTATTATTATTATTACTATTATTATTATTATTATTATTATTATTATTATTATTATTATTATTATTATTATTATTATTGTTATTATTATTTGTGATTGACTAATAATGAAAGATATTCATAGGCTGATCAGTCGATGGATATATTGATTGTGGTTACAGCTACAGTATAACATGGCTACATCAGGTTCGTAGTAGGGAGTTATTATCCTGGCAAATCCCCCATAAAAAAACACATCCTTAAATATCCTATGATTATTAGCGGACCACACTTACAAAAAATATTTTTCCTTAATTTAAAATTTGCTTTTATATGTTAAGTATAATATATTATCTATGTTTTAAACGATGTTTCATATTCCCGTTTAATTAAGGTAATCAATCTTCGGTGCCCTCTAAACCCGAAGCCGAGCACCCCCCCCCCCCCCCCCCCACAAGATAGATACTGCGTACGGAGACATGTATATATTTCAATTCAGACTATTTTTTAATTGTGATATCATTTATTTATTTATTTTTTATTGTGTACGATTCCTGAAATCAAAATAATTTTACAATTTCATCACCTAATAACCTCCTCTCACCCACAGACTATCGCTATATTGTTCTTCGTTGATCTGATGCAGCATGCTCAAATGTACCTTCTCAATACTCAAGAGGTAGAAATCTTGTGTTTTACTGTTTTTGGTGGTAGAAGTAGATTTTTTACCCAGTCAGCAGCATGCTGACTGGGTTCTGTTTCTGAGCAGTTTCTTTACCCAGTCAGCAGCATGTTGACTGGGTTCTGTTTCTGAGCAGTTTCTTTACCCAGTCAGCAGCATGCTGACTGGGTTCTATTTCCGAGCAGTTTCTTCTTTCTTTCTTTCTTTCTTTCTTTCTTTCTTTCTTTCTTTCTTTCTTTCTTTCTTTCTTTCTTTCTTTCTTTCTTTCTCTCTTTCTTTCTCTCTTCCTTTCTTTCTTTCTTTCTTTATATATATAATATTATTTATAAATAACTTTCAAAAAAATGAATAAAAGACTTCTGTCACAAATAACAGAGCACAGTCTTGTCATGGGCACATATGTATTGGCATAAGTTAGGGTCTTTATGGTGTTCAGCGATTTACGGTCAAAGGTCATTAAAGGGTTATTCTTTTGTTCTCTCTAGTAACATTTCAAAATGCTACTAATGGCATTAAGAACCAGTGACACCTCTTACACCCCTGTCTGGCATCAGTGGTTACAAAGGGGTCATCGGGGTCAAATTTTCAAAATAGCCCAATTGAGTTCGAATTTACCAGGAATGATCCTTAGGACCTTCTAAACATGAAGGACTACTCTTCACCTATAGGTAAAAAATCACAAGGGTCACTATAGTGAAAATTATCAAATATTGCTAGTGACTAACGATTGGACCAATTGCATTAGACAGACCCTACCAAACATGGGGTGTTCACAGTTTAAGGTTAAAGGTCACAGTGGTTATCTCTTGAAAAATGACTGGGTTCATGTTCTATTGAACATAGTATCTCTAGTTTTTCTTTCTTTCTTTCTGGCAACATTTTAAAAGACTACTAGTGGCAAACTACTGGACCGATTTAATTAAAACTTGGTCAGTAGGACCGATGCCATCTCCCATTTATGTGTTGTTCACAACTTGTGGTCACATAAGGGGCATTGGGGTCAAAAAACCAAAAATCATATAAAAGACTACTTCTCTCACAAATAAGGTAGCACAGTCTTGTCC